TACCTCTTCCAACATTGTCGATCGCCACCACCACCACTATCCACCATTTTCACATCCTCCACAACCACTGTCGTCCACCAACCACCATTGCCTCTACCTCCACAGCCACCGTCGGCAATCATCACTTCCACCACCACCATTGGCTACCACCACCACTACCCACCACCACTGCTACCTCCACCACATCGGTCACAACCATCACCAATAATACCGTAGGTCACAACCACCACCAACACCACCATAACCACCACCATTGTCTACCACTACCTCCGCCACATCGGCCACATTTACCTCCTCCACAACTGTCGATCGCCACCACCACCACTATCCACCATCGATCTTCACATCCTCGACAGCCATCATCATCCACCAATCACCAAGGCCTCTAACTCCACAACCATTGTTGTTGAAACAATCTTCACTGTGCCTTCGCCAATTGATAAGGATCTTGCAAACCGAATGAACATAATTTCTCCTCTGTATGAATCGGGTTTTCTGAACTACCATCAATTATATCAAAATTTTCATCAAATTTGGTACTAATATATGTATGTATTTATGTACATGAAAAATATGTAAAAATGTTTATAAATTAAATTATCTAATTATTTACTTTAGTTGTGTTAATTATAACTATTATGTGATATATAAAATCATTGAATAACTTTTGGGGGCAATTTGTCTAGTTCTGGTTATGTCTTGTCCAGTCCTAATTGTACCAAACACTAGGCAGATACTTGTTTAATCAAGTCCACTCTGCATATCAAACGCTACCAAAGGGAATAAGGGATTCAGGATTATGCATTGGTCAGGTTGCTATGGGTCTGGCAATTTCCAACCCAACTAGGCCCATTTGTAGATATTATTAATTGAATAAACTTTGCATTGTTGATAGTCATATTACATGATATAGATGGCGACTAATAGTCGAATGCATAAAATATCTCTAAATAATGACAAAATAAAAGGAATCTATCATTAACATTTTCTAGATGGTATGTTTGATGGATGAGCGAAGATGTACCTTTTACATCTCTAGATGGTATTGACAAAGAAAAACAAGCATTCGCTCCTTCCATTGGCACAAACCTACGAATCAAACTTATGCAGTAGCATCATGTGAGAAACCTCTTTCTTTCATTTGTAGTAAAAGCTTCTCTACCTCATCATGTAGTTGGCTCTTAAGAAATCCTTGGAGAAGAACATTGAAAGTAACACTATTTGGCAAGCAACCTCTTTCTTCCATAACAAGAAACAAGTCTTTCGCTTCACTCATAAGACCTTCCCGACAAAAACCATTAATCATCGCATTATATGTCCTAACATCAGGTTGCAAACCCTTGGCACTAAGGTAACTAAAAACATCCCTAGCAATATCAAGCCTCCTACATCTACTTGCACCATTAACGAGTATAGTGTACACAAAAATATCTGAATTTAGATTGTTGTCACCCATCAGACGAAACAAAGAGACTGCTTCATCCACTTGATAATTGTTGCATAGACCTTACAGCATTATTCCGTAAGTCCATGCATCTGGAATCTGGTTGCATTCTAGCATCTCAATAAAGAGTCCGCATGCAGCTTTGTAACGCCCAACTCGAAACAATCCTTGTAACATGATTGTGTAAGTGACTACATCCGGTTCCATACCTTTTCGGTTATTTCATCAAACATATGCATGGCTTTAGTTATGTTGATATTCTTGCAATACCGATATAATAAACTAGTATAAGTCACTACATCGGGATCATTTCCTCTCTTGACCATGATGTTCATAACAGCCTCTGCATCTTCCACGATACCTTCCTTGCAAAATGAATCAACTAATATATTGAAGATTGGAACATCGAGAGATATCCCTTCGTCTTCCATTTCTCCGAGCATTTTAGAGACCTCATCCCAACAACCTAACTTACAGAGGCCACTAATCAAAGAGCTGTAATTAACAACATTTGGTAGGATGCCTTTGTCGAGGATCATTTCATTGAAGAGCTTTAAAGCATCATCTACCATACTATCCTTGCAGAGACTATCGATGATGGTGCTATATGTGAAAACATTAGGTTTACAACCTCTTTCATCCATTAGCCTAAGCAAATCGATGGCTGCATCGTTATTGCTAAACTTGCAAAGCCCTTTAATCATTATGCTGTACATAACTACATTAGGTTCACAAATTTCCTCTCTGATCAGCTTCTTGAACAACCTTTCTACCTCAAAAATCCTATCTTCTATGACGAGTCCGTTCAAGAGTGTACTAAAGGTTACAGCATTCGGATAAATCCTTTTCTCTTCCATTTCTTTGAGCATCTTACAGACCTCATCCCAACGACCTAAGTTACAAAGGCCACGAATCAAAGAGCTATAAGTGACAACATTTGGTAGGATGCCTTTGTGGAGGGTCATTTCATTGAAGAGCTTTAAAGCATCATCTACCATTTTGTCCTTGCAAAGACTATCGATGATGGTGCTRTATGTGAAAACATTAGGTTTACAACCCCTTTCATCCATTAGTCTAAGCAAACCAATATATGTATTATTACTGCCAAACTTGCAAATCCCTTTAATCATTGTGTTGTACACAACTACATCAGGTTCACAGAGTTCCTCTCGGATCAGCTTCTTGAATAATCTTTCTACCTCAAGAATCCTATCTTCTAGGATGAGTCCACTTAAGAGCATACTAAAGGTGATCACGTTGGGTACAACACCACGCTTAAACCCATAGGCTATGATTGAAAAAACCCTCATTTGTACAAGACATTTGGCAAAAACACTTGATCACAATGGTAGTAGTGTAGACATCAACAGGAACACCAATAGCTACCATTTGCTTAAAAAGATCAATCGAACAAGAATAGTGTTCCATTTTTGTAACAGCTTGCAACAAGCGGGTGAATTTAACAACAGATGGCAGAGGTTGTCTTTGTGTCATTTCATCGAACATGTTGAGGGCATCATCAAGCTTGGTAATCTCTTCAAACCTAGATCAAGGATGATCAAACAGTAGTTTACGAATTGAACCCGAATTTGAGCAAAACGTACCTACACTCGTTGGAGAAGAATCGATTCCAGAATCTAGTTTTAGAACTGAATAAATGAATTTTGAAAGAAAGAAACGAAGAAGGAGCAGTGAAGGTACCTTTGAATTGATTGGGGCGAACGAGAGAAGCAGCCTGTTTGGAAATCTTCATCATTGTGAATGGTAAGCAAGAGAGAGGGGCGTCATATAAATGGATTCACCATGAAAGCATATTGCAGAATCTACTTCACAAACAAAAAATTAAGCAAGCATTCCCATTTGCATAAGAATTTGTGTAAACTTACTAAAATGGGAATTTGATTTCTTAAAAAGTAAACTTAATTCGGCATGTAATCGTGATGTATACTTGTATAACACAAGAACCATCCATAGATGTTCGATTCTCTCCACATAAACTTCAAATACATCTTCCCCCATATGTGAAAACACAACTACAAGAAAATCTACAATTGTAGATGTATGCTGATGATTTAGCCACTTCGATTCGAATAGGCAATATGGAAATATGTTGTCGAGGGGTTTTTAGGATTGCTTGTTTTAAACAAGTTACGCCTACAAAATCATTTATCAATTTATTATAAGATGGAATGGTTTAATTTATTAAAAACTTTTTATTATCAGTTTGACATCGATATAAGTTGTTTATCAAAACACTTAAAAATGTTTATTACCAGTGTCACAACGGAATAAATCAATAAGTTGTTTTTATAAGTAATCTCAAACACAAAAAGTCAACACCTTATTCATGTCTAGATAGATAATATGTACATATATTAAATAAAAATTTGATGTATATTCACGTTTGGCCCCTTTGTTACGTTTTTAATTATATTGTAGAAGTATAAATGTGTAGCGTATATAGGGTATAATCGCGATCAAAATTAAAAGAATTTATTTCCGGATAAAAGAGACCCGAAAACCATTCCACGTCAATCCTATATATTCGATCTGGATTCTGGAAAAGATCGAATGGTATAAACGATGAGGGGGTGATTAAGGATATTTTGTTAGTACCCCATTCGTCCCAAAATAAACGTTCACAATGAAAAAGGTACATAGTTAAGTATTACACTTGACAAACTTTATTATTAGGACTACAATGAAAAAATAGACATATGCTTTTAAAAGTGGACATTTATTTTGGAATATATTTAAATAAAAAATATTATCAGGGACAATAATTTTAAGGACGAAGAGGGTAATAATTTCCACTTTGCGTTGTCTGCCAGTCACTAATCCGGATGTAGATTTTGTCAGAGCACGATGGTTCTAACCATTAACGTTAGAGCATCTCCAACAGATTATCTGGATAATCAAAAGTTAAAATCTTCAAGAAAAAATTACATTCATCTCCAACTGTTTCTCCGTTTTGGAGATTACAACATCAATTATATTGTTAAAATATTCAATACTATTCATTAAATATTATTTCTCGTAAATATTTAATTCCAATGCTTATCTTTAACAGGAAGAACAAAAAATATTTTCTCTTTTCTAAGCAATCATTTTATAAGTATTCAAAAAATTTGAAAAACCCCAAAATGTCTATTTTAAAAAATCTGTTAGAGATGTTCTCAGTGGACTTAAACTGAGCTTTGGACCACGATAATCGTAACAATTAACATGTGTATTGTCTTTCGTAAAACTCGTATATATTTGTTACATAATATAAATAAAATAGTTATTTGAGACAGTTTTAATTAAACACCTCCACTACACTAAAGGGGCGTTTTACCAAACGTTAATCCGGGTAAGCACTTATTAAATCATCTTACCTTACCGAATGAATATGGTAAGGACCAAAAATCTTACCCGGCAAGTAGATGCGACGAATATTACCACAATAAGTGTTTATCGGGTAAATTGTTGCACACAAAACCGGTAAACACTTACCGGATAAGTATTTGATAAACGGATACTAAATCAATGCATCATAACTTCATACAAACATGAATTATTTTTCCAAATAATTAATTGAAAAAACAAAAACAACAATGTAAGAAGAAAGTTGTGATTTATTATGAAACGATGTCGTTTTCATTTATGGTAGTACGCAAAAGGCAAATAATGTTGTTCCCGGAGTATAAGTTGGATCAAAAAATCCGAAACTTACTTTGTAACCATTTCCCACATACACACAACCGTCGTTAATGGACATGCCACCGTAGACGGTGGCTCCAGTGTCATACGACCACAAAATTTCTCCGGTGGCACCACTGATGGCGTAAATGGGTCCTGTCCCATTGGTCGAGCCAGCGAACACAACACCATTAGCTAAACTCACGGGTCCACTTGCTGTCGCGTTACTTGGATTTGCTGTCGACCATAACACATTGCCGCTTGCAGCATCCATCGACACCCATCCCCCGCTATTGGTTGCTATATTTGACGGCTTCAACGTAAATGTACTCCGTAAACTGTTTGCAATATTTGTGTAGACCGTCTTTCCATCTGTTGCCGATCCCCAAAATCCTCCTCCACCGGCTCCTCCAGGTCCAGCTTCCTGCAATAACATCGTTACCAACTCAACTTACATAAATACGTACGAAAACATCGAAGTATATAAAGAGAAATTAATCTAAAGTTTAAGGATCTGGTTTGCCAAATGAATAAACTTAATTAAATTATACTTTTTAACTTTTTACCTAAGATTTAGTGGAATTGAACCGGTGCAGGGTTGCTAAAAAACCCGACCAACTTATTAATCCGATCAACCCAACGCGAAATAATTCAACTTGAAGCAACCCGATGTCTAATCGAGTTGTAAAATTGTCAAACCGTAGGTATTGGGTTACTATTATTTGAATTCAACTCAACCCGATATCCTTTTATTTATGGGATTTAATATGATTATTGAATCTATATTAATATACATTAACAATTACACTATCATGTATGCTCTCCATATACACATATTTTCAATCTTTTCACATCTCTATATAACTCATTCGTATATATGTTGAGTAACTGTGAACATATATATGTAAATTGAGAAAATTAACTGAATGTGATATATGTAAGAAGTATAGATAAGTTATATCAAATGGTTGATGATGAAAAAGAACTTATGAGTAGAGAAATAACATATTCAAGGTTAGAAAAATATTTTAATGTACCAAAGTATCAACCCGACTAACCCGACCAACCCGTACAGGTTGGGTTAAGATTTTCAAACCGCAAGCATTGGGTTGAGTTGTTCAAATGTCTTCAACCTAACCCATGAGCACCCCTAGTTCAGCGACTCAGTTTGATGTCTATATAATTAAGATACTTAGTTTAAACTTTGTAAAATAACTGAATACGAGTTTTACCGTAGACCACAAGATGCTACCGTTGTCGCGATCCAAAGCCCAAGCGATCCCGCTCTTTTGCACCGCGACGACTATGTCACGCTTGTGTCTATTAACATCAATGGTTAGAATCATCGGTGCTTCGGAAAAATCTGCATCTGGATTAGGGCCAGGAGGACAACCCGACGTAGAGACATTATTGCAAGCAAAAATCCAAATATCGTAACCCCCTAATTGTTTATACCATTTGATTTCCCCTGAATCCAAATCGAGTGCTAGGACCGAATTGGAATGGTTATCGGGCTCAATGCAATTATCGTTGTCTGTTGGTGTCGTTTGATTGTTTTGGGCTTCTTGGCATTGTGTAACATTTAATGGGGCGGAATACATGTTTCCAGTGGCAATGTATACTGCGTTGCGGTGAATGTCAATGGACGGACTGCTACCCCATATGGCACCACCGGCATACTCGTCGATGCTACCGTTGTTATCCGGCAACATGTAGGTTTCCCACAAGATGCTACCATTATTGGCATTTAACTTAGAGAAACTCCCTATAAATGAACAACATGCTTCAATGCTCGAGCTTTCTTCAAGTGACGATGTGCCCACGTAGAAAGCACTACATGTTTCCCGATAGCCCGTTCCGTTACCAAATGTTAAAAAAAACGTAATCAAAAAATTAGTTGATGAGCAAATCATGTTTGACAAAAACTGGCAGATAAAGAATGTAAAATGACGAAAAATGACATTTTGAAAATTAATCAATTATAGTATTTTAAAATATAATTGAAACAAATCTATGATAATATAATATATTAACTAATACAAATAAGATCGTAAAAGAAATTAAAAAAATATAATATATTGATTAAAAGAATTTAAAATTGATTATTATATATCTATACTATATTATAAAGCATTTGACATAAACTCTTAAAAATCTTTTTTTATGCATGAATTACT